TTTGATTTGAAGATTTAAAATCAAATAATCAAATCAAATTCAAATTCAGATTTTTTAAATCAAATCAAATTCAAATCAAATCAAATTCAAATAAGCCTAATATTTGATTTGATTTTGAGAAACACTAGTAGTGAGTACTTTTTGGACTTTAGAAGCTCTAATAAACTCTATTTCATCCATATTTTAGATATGGTCTGTAGTAAGTGAATTTTCTTGAATGATTTTTTGAAGTTTTTCAAAATAATTCTTTATAATAACTGGATTTGCTCTTTGTGCACAAGCTTCTGAGAGGGCCTGAAGTACATGAAAAGATAGATCAGAATAGTTCTTCAAAAAGCGTAACCACCAGGCTTTTCCAGATCCATCATCGTTAAAAAGATGATTACGATTGTTACTATTCACGATATTCATTATACAATAATTTATTCCAGATCACATAATTTCAAATCCTAATCTTTGCATGTTTTACAATAACCAACTAATTGTTATTCTTCATGGATATTTAGAACTGTTGAAGAATCAGGATGGTTAGGCAAGCTATTATTCTTTACATGTTATAAGGTTGTTTTATTAATATTAAATTTTAATGTAGTTGCTCGTATACTAGGTTTGTTAGAGCTATTAAGTGCTTTAAGAGCTGATTTAATAGCATTTGTATATGTTTGGTTTTGTTGAGTTTTGATTTAGTTATAGTTTTAGGTTTAGACGAAATTTCAAAGTTTATGTTTTTTTATTTTTATTTTTTTTTTTTTAGCCATATTTTATAATTTTTGTGCAGCTTTGTATGCAATCACAATTGATTATCTTAAGGCATATTATTTATTGTTTTAATCATGATTGCGATTAATTTTTGTATTACAGCTTTTGTATACAACCACAATCGTGATTATGATTAATTCACTTAAAGAATATAAACTCATTGTTTTAATTATAATCATAATCGTGATTATTTATTATATTGGCCATGATCGCAATTATTTTTGTATTGGCTTTTGTATACAATTATAATCATGATCATAATTGATTCTTTTAAGGTATTTGTTTTTGTATTGGCTTTTATATATACGATTAGCTTTTGTATACAGATTGGCTTTTTTATATATGATTTTTTTTTATTAGACAATTAAAGTTTTAACAAATAAAACTAATTTCAAAATTACCTGAATCTAACTAAATCTACACAAACAATATCAATTTTGTCAAATTTATAAATCAAACGGCGAGTAGAATATTTCTCAAAAAATTATAAACAACAACTTATAAACAAATAAATTTTGGTTATTAATTACAAAAAATAATTAAAAGCTTTTATATATTAAAAAATAGAATATCCTCTTGATCCACAATTTGAAGAAATAAACTTAGTCTCAATTCTTCATAATAATTTAATAAACTATACTTATGATGCTGCCAAATTCAAAGAATAGATAAAGTATATTCTTCTGATTCTTTACAAATAACTTATTGGTATCATAATCTATTTTTTGAAATTAATAGTTACAGATAAAATGATTAAATTGACAGAGAATTATCACAGGAATAATTGAGAATTAAACAAAATAAAACAGTTTGTGATTTTTTTTGAGAATATCATATATAACTACGAATATCTTGCAAAAATAGATTATATGTTATTAATATTCAAAAGATTATACAAGGCTGAGAGTGACAGTAGTATGTTTGATCAGAAATATAAATATTGCATTACTCTTAAAGGTTTGAAAATATGCAAATTTGTGGATTTGTTTTGCATAGGAGAAAAATATAGGCCTAGTTTCAAGATTTTTATGATAATTGTTATGATTCTCATAGTGAAAAGGAGGAGTTGAGCTTGTATAGAGAAAATTTTCATCTTCTTGACGTAAATATATCATCAAGAAATTAAAATAATATATATAGTATAATTAATAAATTGCTTAATTAGGCCTGATCATTAAGGGTATGCTAGGCATATCAAATATATATTTGTTAATTTTTATCAGTTTTTTATTACCATTGCTTGTATCTTGTAGCCAAGAGTTTTATTTAAAGTGATTTGTGTACTATTCAATTCATCTTGATAAGATGAGTTGAATAGTACAAAAATTATTCTATTCTGATTACTGTATTTTGAGATATTTTAAAAAAACTCTAGTCTACTACATTACAGAATACCCTACTTCACCTTATGATGATTGACAATAATATCTATGATGATTGACTAAACTGAAGACTATTGTTTTCTTATAAAGCTATGGTCTATTTAATATTAGTATTAAAATGTATTTAGAAGGTTTATTAGAGATTGGGCATAAGAGCATTTGGTTTCATATATACATATCAGTTAGATCAGTGAACTTTTCTGTAGTTTATGTATTATAGTCTATTGTAGTATATGCATTATAGTCTATTGTAGTTTGTGCATAGTTTATTGTAGTATATGCATAATTGTATTACTAAATTAGTCATAATACATTAAAATATATCATTAATTTGTAGCTTAATAGTTATGCTTGTATAAATAAAGTGAGAGGATAAGTAAGTCAAGAAATTCTTTTTTACATTAGTAATAAGTAAATACTGATCTAGCTATTAAATAATCATGTGCTAAGTTTCAAGGTGTTGTTGGTGTTAGTTAAAAAACAAAAAGAGGATCTGAATTATACAAAAGGCTTATTTAATACTGTGTGGTTGATGTAAGCTAAAAGTGTTACTAAATTTGATCTGGGTAAACTTCATTTACTAACCTGACAGTTATTCAATATAAAGTGCTAAAAAATATAAACAATAGTTATCTCAAGTTTATACTAATATTCCACATATTCTGAGGTTACAATAAACTGTAATAACAAAAATATATAATATAAAGATATTGAAATTTTGTATAATTATCATTATTGTGAATTTGATAAAAGGTAAGATAGCACAATAAGCATACTAATAATAGTTTGCATTAGACAATTATTAATTATATAATAATGATAATTTTATATCAATAAAAGATAATTAATAGTGATACTGTAAAAATAACTGGTAGTAATAATTTGTGTTTAACACCTATAAGACTGAATATTTATTTTGAATATGAGTAGTCTTTGTGGCTTTCTCTTAATCACTTGCAACTGTAGTATTTAAAGAATAAAAAACAATTTCATATAATTAAATTTTTTTTTATCTGCTGTCAAATCAAATCTGCATCTTATTTCTCTTAATAATAGAAGTATTAATATTGAGGTAAAGATTTATTAAAAAATTCATCATATTAAAAGTATTTTTATTTTATAATTTTATCTTCCAATTTTCTAAAAATGTTTATAAATAAAGACTTCTTCAGTGTTATAAATATAATAAAAGTAATTGTTATCTAAAGAAATAGAATAAGTATAAGGCAATTTTTATTATCAAAAATTCATTGAGATAAAACATACTAAGAAAATATCTATTCTTATTTTTAATAAATAGAATTCGAGATAAAAAGGATGAATATTAGGTAGAGATAAAATTAATTTTTTTTGTTATTAGGTGGTCTAATTTTAAATCATGCATAATATTGTATAACAAATAAAATTTATTTAAATATCTTTTATATTTGATATATATTTTATTCAAAAAAACAAAACACATGATACGAAATTTTAAGCAAAAATCTAAAACACTATTTACTTTTAGAAGACAAAAGTTACCAAGTTCTTTGGCTTCTTTAGCCTCTACTTCAGCCTCTACTTTAGCCTCTACTTTGGCTTCTACTTTAGTCTTTACTTTGGCTTCTACTTTAGCATTTACTTTGGCTTCTACTTCAGCTTCTACTTTGGCTTCTACTTTAGCCTCTACTTTGAACTTTACTTTTGAATCAAATTTATTAAATGAAACAACTTCTGAAGAATATTAATTATCATCTGTTTGAAAATTTTTTTACTGAAAAAGAACTAAATCACCTGGTCATTATTTAGCTAAATGCAAGTATTGCTAATTGGGCAAGAGGCAAACTATTAAAACTTGAGGCTAATCTTGTGCTATAGTATTCTAAAGTAGATGATCATGTTCAACAAATATATTTGCTTCTTATAGCACGTAGTAATAGTGTTGATAAGAAAATACAACTTGAAAGTTCAAAAGCTAATTCTAAGAAACACAAATTAAACAATAAGCAGCCTAATCTTCCAAATTAGTTTTCACAAATGCTAGAAGATGGTTTGTCTGAAGGATATATAAACTCTATAAATAGCTCACTAGTAAAAGCTTTTGTAGCTTGTGAAATTCTATTTTCTGTAATAGAAAATCCAATTTTTATTGATCTTCTTTTAAATTTGTATTCAAATTACAAACCACTATCAAGTGAAATTTTATTAGGACAATTATTAAACCAAGAATGTTTTAAGTTTATAATTAAACTTGAAGCAATTTTAATGAATCAAATAATTTAATCTTGGGTATATATGCAATTAGTTCAAATATTTTATTTAATTTATTTTAATATTAAATTATATAATTTATAGCACTAGATAGGTAGACATCATCTAATGAAAATTCAATTTATAGTTTTGTGATTTTAACTCTTATACATTACAAATATTTATACTCTCTACAAGATTTTTCTATTGATTTTTATACTGCAGAATTTCTTGCAGACAAAATCAATATAGTTATTAATAAGATTGGATATAATAAATTTGCTGCAGTTGTGACTAGTATTCTGAAGTTCAGTTCAGTTCAATTTAGGTTCAGGTTCAAGTTCAATTGAATCTGAACTAAATGCAGATCTTTGAACCTAAACCTAAACTGAACTTTAAATTTATGAACTTGAGCTGAACCTGAACTCAAAGTTTTGGTTTAGTTCAAGTTCAGTTCAAGTTCATGAACATGTTCAAGTTCAATGAATTATATATAT